ATCACCCAATAATGCAGACGTAGGTATTGTTTCGTTTAAATCGTCATAGTTAGCCGCATTATTGGAAAGTTCAAATATTTCCTGAGAATTTTTTGGATTAGAAATATTTTCGTTGACAGCTTCACAGTCAACTTGAGATTCATTCTGGGACTCAGTTTGGCATGAATTATTGGTATTTGTTTGTATCTGTTGTTCAAGAGGAGAAACTGAGGCTAAAATATCACCAAAACTTTCAAAAGTGTTTTTAAATTTATCTTGATCCATTGGACAAATTCCAGCAGACTTAAAGCCATTTATAGCTTTGTCAGTACTTGTGGTTCTATTAAAAGCCTTCGTATAAAGGCCTACAACATCATATACCGTAATTTTGGTGCCTGGATGGTTGACCATGAAGGATTCACATTCTCTGTTATATGCTGTTTTTAGCGGGCCATGGAAAGTTAAATCTAAAGGCTGCATTCTATGAGATGTGTGAGGTGGCAAAGTTAAAACATGAATAAAATTCTTGCGGCAAAATTCGTGAGCTCTCAAACTAACGTGGCTTTCATGGTTGTCCAGTATTAGTAAAATAGGGTCATCTGCAGATGGTTTTGCAAATGCTTTGAAATGTTGAAGCCAATCAACGAAAATTGATTCAGTTATCCAGCCTGAGTCAGAAACACAAGCCACCATGTTACTATTACTATCCTTCATAAGCAGTGCATTCATTCGCTTTCTTTTAAATATGAAAAATGGGGGAATGTATGTGCCTCCAGCATTAAAGCAATTTATAACTGTGGTCAAGGAACCACGTTCTGCGCTGGTACATTTTCCTACTTGTTTTAATCCTTTCGGTGCGAGAATCCTGGAATTTCGTTGCACAGTACTAATCCCCGTTTCATCAACATTGTAGATTGAATTTGACTTAAATTGGAATTTTATCATGAGTGTTTTTAAATTTTCAAAAAATATATCTGTTTCTTCTTGATTAAATGCTGTGATTCTATTGATTGAAGTAGCTTCTGGCTTTCGAAGTGATATGTTGGGGTGTCTAGCCATAAAATTATAATACCAATCTATACCTGCCATTTTAGTATCTTTATTGAAGTCATTTGCTATGTTATTAGCAGCGGCAAAATCAAAAGCTATTTTTCTTAGGGTAGGAATTGTTATCCCAAAGTAAGCTTTTCAAGATTTTAAAATGAATTCGACCAGTTCGTTTTCTTGAGATTCATCAAAAACTGACTTCCTACCTCTTTTTGGCATGGTACTAACACAGACTTTTTTCACTTGATCAAAAAGAGTCGCCCTGGGAATACCATACTTTTCTGCCGCCTGTCGAAAAGGAGTCTTTTTCTCTTTAATTTCTTGCACAGCTCTTTGTAGAGTTTCAATGGTGTAAGCCGATTCTTTTTTCTTAATATATTTTCGAGGCATCTGGAATAAAGAAATATTACTACAGGTTTTGATAAATAATGGGGTAATTACGGACGTCCGTATTTAACCCAGGCCATTTGTCCGCAATTGACCCAAACGAGTTAGAAAAAGTACAACATCAAAATTTTTAGGTTAACAAAATTTATCAAGGCATACGGTTGTGTTATTTACTCGTCGTTAACACCGCAATCGACAGAAAATATGACTTTTATACTGACACTTATTATTTTTGAATAACACTCAAAATAGTAAATACCAAAAATTACATCAAATACACAAAAAATGAAAAATTGCAATTACCTTGAATCGAGCGTGCAGCTGTCTGTCGGGAATGTTTGGTGGACACTAAAAATGGCAGGACGAAACGCGTGATCGCGGCGGTGGGACGCGGGCGGCAGGGATAGAGTAGATACATGTTAGTCCGTATTTACCCCGCGTCCGCGATTCCCCCATCGTCCCCTAGTAGAAGCAAAATAAGAATATTTGTGATCTGAAACAGGTAGGAAACTTAAAAACAGGTAGACACGAAAAGACCCTGGTCGTGGCGAAAGCATAGGCGGTGGATTCACATTCTTGGCACGATTCTCCGTTCAGATATTTACATTGTTAGCTTTTGCTGTAACCATAAGTTCAAACGATTGAATTCGAAGAATCTCTAGATTATTTCTAATAACTGTTTTTAGCCTGACAACAACAGCTCTAAATAAAGCGATTCGATTTCCGCTTCCACAAATCTAAAGCCGGCATTCAAGTCGTAAATTCTGAGTCACGATTACAAATGATGACGACATTGAAATTTCTGAAGACATTGATAGGTAGGACTGTGACGTCTTTTTACACATGTTGTACTTAAATAAAATATGGACTTTAAAACCGTAACACAAGTAAATGGAATTAATTTCTTATATATTAGACTAAAATAATTTAGTCTAAAAGTAAGATTAATAGAATGATGACATAAAAAATAAACGAAATGTGGGATGGTTTTCAAGAGAAGTTGGCTTGGCAACTAATTCAAAATTGATAATGGCCGTACCTATCTGCAAGTATCATTAATTTATTTCTGAAACCAACTGGTTGACAATGAAAAAGATAAGGTTAATAATATTTTACATTATAATAATATATGGTACGTCATTTAGGTGAGACGTGAATAGATATAAATTAGGCCAATGTCTATTACAATGTATCTGCAGTAAACTCATTTTGCACTTCTAAATTAGTATGGCACATTGCTAATTTAAGAGAGATACCTTACAACTGTATCATTTCAATCATTATTAAAATGAGGATGGAATGCACAAAAAGTTATAATTAAAGCGTTTCGTTGTAAACTATCTACCTAACTAAAACTTAATAAAAAACATTTTTTAATTAAATTGGAATATAATTTCGAAATTTTACTGACATAAAGAAACAATCCTCTGCTCACGTGCTTCGTTCATTCACATGGAGGTCACACACATATTGACCTACATAGTCATGCGTGTTACCAAATAGAAGATTGGCCTCGATCTTCGTCAGTGAATTGTTTCTTTGACAGAGTGTCTTACTACATAGCTCAATAGTTATTTATGATCAATGATATTTCAATCCGATATCAAACAGGCCGAGGCTAGTTACAAGGTTTATGAAGTGCGAAATATATATAATACTGTTTTATTGATTAAATACGGTTTTTAAATGTGTAGGAACGATAACATTTCCCATTTTTAGGGTTCGTTCTCATGATATGGAATCACGATTAGTAGTAACCCAAAAAAAAGCCATTATTATATTTTATTCATATCATAGTGGTCATCAACCTTGTTACGAAGTTGCGAAAACCAAGGGACTTTTTCTTGTCAATATTACAAAGGAGATATCAATATTTAGGTATTTTCCTTATAGCTTTTATCCTGCTAAATGAGTCACATCCAAGCACGTATGGTATTTCCACAACAAAGCGTGAATCAGCATTAGGTGCACCTAAGGATCTCGATCGGCCTTATTCAAAGATTGACCAACGTCATATCCATTTCAGTATTTTTTGTTTTTGATAAAAAATACTGAAATGGAATAATAATACTTGTAAAAGATGCTACTCGTTACGACGGAGAAATGGATATCCGTTTACATAATACTCGTACATATTACAGCTCGTAAAGTCTATCATATTTTAAATATAGGTATGAACAGTATCTCAAATAAAACGATAACCGTACAGAAAAGTATCTTAATGGTAGGTGTTTTTCGGAAAACATATTCACTTGAATATCATTGTAGACAATTGACTGGTACATCACACATTCATCATATTACAATAGAGTCGTAACTCGTAACGCAAAGCAGTTATTGTCAGTTAGTATCCGGTAAACGGTGAACATTATCTGGCCCATAATTCTCTACTTTGTGTAAAATTATCACCAGTAAATTGAAACTGGCCAGTCTTCCTTCATTACTGAGTGCTACGGTTTATACCGTATATGAATTAAAAATACCCTTATCTCTATTTGATTGTTACAAAGTTTACATGTTAGATATAGATAACATCTAGAATAATAAAATGACATGGGTTGCCCAGCCAAATCAGGAGTCATCATTTTGATTAATTAGCTTTTTTTATAAACTTTCTCTTATCGATGACAATCGAGAGAAGACGACCTTAAGTGTTGGCTCAGATCTATCAGACCACATTCGTAACTAAAACCTGATGGATCAACCTGACATATCATTCAGGGTTTTAGTTCGATAAATCGATCAGGGATTCAGCTGCGCAGTAGAGCCGCAGATCGGCTGCGCTAGCTCTCTGATATTATAGAAACACTTCTTCTTAAATATTTAGATACCTATCAGTCTTTTTACTACAAACACTTTAGAATTGCTAGCATTTTACAATTTTCTCTTCGTGATTTTTATTTCAAAATTATAGGAAATGGCAGAACGGTAGAATAAGCAAAATTATAAAAAAAAACACTGATGGCTCTAAAATGAATACTTCGTTGTCAGTCTGTCACTAAGCTGTATCTCATACGGTTCATGAGATCACACTTCGTGATTAGTCGAGAACGAACAAATATTAATAGTACGAAACCTATCGCGCGTGTAAGTCCAATTCGCACATGGCCGGATTTTTTTTTCCAAGTTATTCTCCTAATTTATATTCTTTTTATGAATGAATATGCCAGTCACTTTGTATCCGAGATCTTTGTATTGTATTAAAAATTGATATTTATTTATCACAATAATTTTTAATGCATCTTATAATATCTCGTTTAAGGAACGTATTGGATACACCTAGAGTTATTTGTTAGATACTTATTGAAGTAGGTTTATTTATCATTAGAATATGTAAATTATTATTAGTTACTTAAATATTTATTAAAACGCCTTCATTGTATTATACTACACGATGGTGAGTGAATAAGCATTGTCATGTATTAATATATAATATGCTACAAACTAAAACGATAAAATTGCAAGTCACTGATCAGAATTCATATAGATAATTTTGTTTAAACTTATCTAAAAGAAAAGTTGAGAATATTAACCAATACAATACAACGTTACCTAGTTCTAATGTATTGGTTAGTTACCTTGACGTCATGCTAAATGGTAGTAGATATATTTAGACGATTTAGACAGTCATGTATTGATTCATCGAGTATCGGGAACGAAGGTGTTTAACCCTTAAAAATAAGAGTTCGTCAATGCACGAATCGATTTTTCAGTAAATTCCAAAACAATTGTTTTAATGATTAATATGAATTATCGCAATCATATTCGTTACCAAGGCTATCTATCTAAGATAAATTGAAAAGATAAATACAAAAACGCTTCAAATCTACAAAAATATCTAATCTATGATTTGAATTTAGATACTCACTACACTCCAACACAGCGAGATAACAGGATTAGGGTCTATCAAATATGACACCTTCATTCGATTTACAGCGTAATTAGCAAATATTACCTATAACATTCATCTATGCCTATACTATAGTAATAAAAAAGCACATGATTTCTTGAAACCACCAAATGACCCCTATTATTTGTTTGCAGAGCGTGAAAAACCGTCATCATCGGTGTTAGAGTGGCAGCAAGAGGCGCTCGCGAAGGGCGTCGAGAGTAACGAACTCGCCCGTGATGATGGGCGGCAAGATGGACCGGGGGCGGAGGAGGAAGCGGTCGCGCCCACCGTCGGCCGGTGGGGCGCCGAATGGCCGAGTTGACTCGCTTCGGGACGCGACGAGGCCGGCCTCGTCCGCGATTTGACCAGGCTTCCCCTACCGCCCGCGCGGTGGGGCCGACCGCGGCGCCCGCTCGATCTGACGCCGACCACGCACGAAGAGCTAGTCACCGAAGCGGAGGCTGTCCTCCGTCGGCTGCTAGTCACCGACAACTATGACTCGGTCAACAACTTCGTGTCGTTGCACGACGCATTCGAGCGCTCGACGGAGCCGCTGTACGACGTTTATGAAAAATACTCGCCGCCGATACGTGCGCAGAAACACACTTGTGTCGGTTTGGGATTCGAGCTGATCAAGAGATGGCGGGGATTGAACAAGCAGTTTCCGGGATCCGCTGCGGCGACTGCATTGCTATCTTGCGAGGAGGCGGTGGTGGACATATGGAGTTACGTGTCGCGCGGCGAGAGTCCGGCTGCCGTGGCAGCGGAGAAGGAACACGTAATGGTCGGCGTGCAGATAAGACTCGAGGGCCGCGTCGGTTTGTTGCTCGCTGATCCGGGCTATCACGTACCGAGAGTCGTCACCGTTATGGCTGACAGAGCTTATCCACATACCGGTTAGTACCCGTTACTGTGGTAACTTAAGTAGAACCTATTATTCTCTTAATATTTTATTGTTAGTGATCATGATTGGCTACTATTAAATGAAGCGCATCTTAATCTAACTTTATAATCGTCTGCTGACAGGTTGGTTCACGCAGTCTGACGAGCCGCACTGTCGTAAGGAGTACAATTACGTATTCAGTCCTCATAACAGCAGCTACGTGGAATGGCAGGAGCGAGAAACAAGAGGTGGCGACGTCAAATGTCAGACTTCGCTCGTGTTCGCCGCCCGGCCTTATCTTGATGGCGTGCATGTTACTGAACGCAGAAATCTCGTTTACAATTTCAGGTAGTTACTCCAGCATAATATTTCTTAATGTGATCTTTGGAACAAATTCTAAGCTTATTTAAACAAAATGTTTTGACTACGAAGACGTCCAAATCTATCACATTTGTTAAGCAACTGTATAATAGACCGTTATATTATCTGTTTAGGAGTTTGCTGTCTCGAGATCAGAAAGGACACGTGAGAGCAGGATTATATTTCCCAGTGGGTGGGCGTGGAAAGGATGCACAGTTCACACTATTCTTCGACAATGGTAACGAGAAGAGAAAAACCAAATATAAGTTCCATATTTTTTTGGAATCCGAATGTGTGAGTATTAATATATTTGCAGATAAATTATTCGCAACTAAATATACCTACCGCTGCCTTTCAAGTTTTTTCACATTATTATCATCTTGTGAACTGTATCATTTGTTCAGTCGAAAACAGAAATAATTAAAATAAAACAGGAGTCAACACGCAACTAAATAATAAATACATACCTGCTAATAAAAACAACGGTAAATAGGTATTCTTTATTTATTTATTTGAAAAAGTTTAGAACTTTAAGCACTGTAAAAGCGAAGCCTCGTATAGGTAATAGGAGCTATTATGCCTATCATTATAGTACATAATGGCCCACATTAGTTCGGAGGATTATCGTTCTAAATTCTGAGAATCAGTACTACGTTATTACAAACCGCTTATTTACCAAGAATATTCAAACAAGGTCTGATATCATTACGATGTGATTCAAAAATGTGTACATTATTTTCTAAAAATTTGTTTGTGAATGTAAATAATATACTAGATAATGATATGTAGATGTCTACTGACCAGATTTAAAAGTCACCTACCTACTCAGATATTATTTTACAATTTTATTTTTTGTAGGAAGTTGCTCATTGGTAAAATAATGCTAACTAGTTACATAACTCGTCAACAACATTTATTATTGTTTCAGATTCCAGAATCAATATTAGAAGAAATCGAACTATGCAACGCCCAAATGAATTACACTGACGGTGAACTCCGCAACGTAATCTGCAAGCTCGCTAAAGTTATGGCCAACCAATCCTTCATCGATCAGATGCTCGAGATCAACGAAGACATCTGCCGTCTCTGTCTCTGACAGTCGACACGGAATGGCGTCGACAACAAAATGGCTTCCAATATCACGAACCTCAAAGAAGGAGCCACTTGCAATGATGCTGTTCCTTAAATTTTTATGTTTGTCATTTAATTTGTAGATTAGTTGTCATTATATGTCGTATAATAATTATCAATTTTGTTAATTGTAATCGGTATAATAATATTGGGATTTCGGGAATGGAAATATTACGAAATATTTATATTATTTTTGTAGTGAATAAGGATATTTTGTTAACATATTTTTGGGCTTTTTGGTATAATTATTTGCAGATTTATTTTCTAAATATATAATTATTTGACAAATTTATAAAGCGATCTTTTTATATTGCCCCCTCTTTTAAAAATTTCGTACAAAATATTTTTAAGGACTAAACTCACTATTATCATAACGAGATTAGCGAAAGTGTATTCTTTTTATCAATAAAATCATTTATATTCGTATTCAATGCATAGCGTGAAGGAAGTTCTCTCTCCCTATACAATTCTAACCATAGGGGGGCATGCGCCACGAACGTGATGATATATAAAAAATCAGAAAATAAAAATCGAAATTGACAAGAAAGTAAATATTTTATTGAAGGAATGGGCGATTCTTATTCAGCACCTTTTAAATTCCGTAGGTACAGGGATCTTAATATATTCTATTTTAAACAGTATTTAAAATGCCGACATTTAAAGATATCGCACATTACAGTAACTCGACACTGATAGTTATTTACGGATTAATTTTAAGTCGATATCACTTTAAGTAGATCACTGATATTATACTTCTAAAACCGATAGGTCCTATGTGGAAGAGCCTAAGTAGCATTTTGAATTTTGTCGATAAATGCTTGCTTCGCTATTCGTATAGTACTTTTCGTGTAGTAATAACTGCTTTCATGTGCATTAAAAGGGCTTGAGTAGTACATTTAAAACTGCGTAAGGGCCTAACCTAAAATAATAAAGTAAATCGAAAAATTTCAACAAAAATCCTTTAAATTAAAAAGTGAACCTCTTATGTGAAAATTACCGAAAACACTTACATATATATATATATATATAAGGAGTACCGAATATATATTAATAAACTTCAGATTTGTATTTCTTGAAATATGCTAATTTGCAACGACTTTCCTGAAATCATGGTTTTGTACTTCAGCTCTTATAGATAGTGAGTGATATTTTAATTTACTGTAAATAGATTTGAGGTCGAGTTAAAAGTAATATGCGAACTTTGTTAAACAAGAATGCGGCACTGGTTTACATCAACATTAAGTAATCATTCATACTCATCCTGCTGTTGGTAAGTCAGTACATTGGTAGTATGCAGACCCTTTGAATGTCTAATACACAAACACGGGAACTTAAACTAAAATACATATTAACTAGACACGTAACATAACCTACGTTTAAATATTAACTATTTTTTGATAGAAAGGAATTCATTATTACATAATAGCTATAACATCACACGATTATTATAAATACAAATTGATGTAAAGGAAACTAGTTTATTTAATAAATTCTTCAGGGTGGCAGTTGAATTTAAAATCGTTCCGATGGAATAGTTGTCAATCCAATCGAAATGTTTGGAGAAACTTTTTTTTTTATTATTGGTTTGACACTGACATCGAATCAACATGTTCAACAAAGACATTTTGCGGTCTGCCCTCTTTTAATTATCGTTTGCGTTCGATTTTTATAATAAAAAAAAGAAATTAATAATTTACTGACATATTAATATCATTTAAAATATCGGATAGTACGTACTAGATAAATGACGTCAAAATCTAGCGAATCACAAGCAACAACGAGAGCTTTTTATTATTAATATACATTAAATCGTAATTATTTAATGGAATCTGTGAACGTGGCTGAGCGCGTAGTTCCATTTACTGATGTTACTTTACGTAAATTAAAATAACAATATTGTTTATCAACAATGCCATAAAAAATTAATGTTCTGTAACTATAATTGCATACCACATTACACCATTTTAAACCTGCATTTTTTAAGTAATTCTACTAGTCACAAAAAACGCTTAAGTTTTACGTTACGCGGGCGTATCCATATATTAACAATAACACGCATTAATAAGTTAGTGTAATCAAATTACAAATGCAAGTGAGAAAGTAATATCTTAGATTGATAACAGATAGGATGGATGTCAGGCCAACGATTTTTTTTACACCTGGGATATGGATATAAAATAATATATATGTAATCACATATCATTTACAAAGAACTCTAAAATTCCTTTCTTTCGCCTCCTTGGAATCTATTTGCATTGACTTTAAATAGTGACTTGATCTGAAACGTTACATTAACTTTGATTACACCACTAATATGAACTATAAGTGAAATTAGTTTGTCTACAACGAAGTATTTATGTTTTAATCACCGTTTTTTTAATCAAGTTTAAGAATGTCTGTTTAAACAGTTGTTCTTCTTAGTCAAATTTATTACTACTACACTACTACATTCCATTACAGCCACGAGTGGTGAATGAAAACAAACATACGCCTTTAAATTGACAAAGTGAATGTTATTTGTTTATGGCATGTGATATAATTGACGCAAACGCATACCGTCGTCAGTGCCAAAAATCAAATTTCGACCTATATTACGTGTGCGCAAACAAATGGCGTAAAATCGACATAGACTGCCATATGGGAAGACCTAAACAGGCACTTCGTCGAAACAACATGTAGTCACTGAGAAACGTCCAAAACTAAAACTAAACATACAAGACAAAATACTATACTACAATTGTACATATTATTACAATATTTTAGGTCTCCACTAAAACACGATTGTGCGCACACATGGATCAATATTAAATTAATAGCAATTGAAACAATTTTACAATTTTGGTTAACCTATATGAACAAGAGCGTTACCTATAGAGTAGTAGCGGCATATTTTTGCAAAATAATGATTTAAATCATTATTCTACAATGTTTAACTACATGAAACTGTGTGATATCGAAAACGTGATTCTTTTATCTCCATTTGCTTCCACCACCTTTTTAAACTCTGATTGGACAAGCAAAGTATATCTAATGGTATCGGAATAGTCATTGACCAGTCTTATGCAAAAGTCAGAGATATTAAATAGAAGCAAAAGTCAATGTGCGCACATTCGTATACTAGTGAAGATCCTCATTACACCAAGTTTATAGCCTTTATAGACAATAATAAATATACTCATACTATTGTGACCAATTACCATAAACTAAATAGATAATGTTTCTTGATAGGTATTATTTAATATGCTAAAAGTGTAATCTATTGACGGTGACAAATAGCGAGTGAAAAAATAAAATATTAGAACGCTTTTAACAGCAACGCATTATCATAGACACTATTAATTAATTACTCTAAAACACCGAGACACATCAAAGTACTTCCAATATAACCTAAGCTACAATATTAAGTTAAATAGATACCTATTATTAAACAGTATGTACATGTTGTGTATTGTGTTGGATTAGATTTTTTCTAGGTTCTTTCATATACAATCTAAATCTGTCATTGAAAAATATTTTGATTAATCCGAAACATGTTCTGGGCATAATTTGAATTATCTAAAGGCTCCGCGGTAAACTGATTTTCTAAATTTTTAAATGGAACTGTAAGGCAGTTACTAAATCGCATAGTTATTTTTTTTTAATCAAACAGCGAATCCATACAGTTAAATTTTAAATTATACAATTTCCATCATTTTTGTATTTGCAATCTTTGTTACAGCATGTCACACAGAATCAACCAAATAATAAGATTCATTAATTATATATAATGATTAAAACAGCATTTAGCTGTTTACTAAGAATTTTAGCGACCAAATCGCAGAACAGAACTAAAGAATCGAATTGAGCCACAGACAACATATACGAAAAAAAAATTCTATTAATTTTGTTATAAGAAGTTCATTAATATAATGAGACTCGTTAGATCTTGTCTTTTGTAAATCATAATAACTTCATATTTTGAATGATAATTCTTTTGCTTACTTTGAAAATTGAAACAATTTCACCTTTCGAGTGTACCTAGTATGCCAATGAAATAATTTGTATATTTATAACGTTCAAAGAATAAAGACCTTTACGATAAATCTTCGTGTTAACTAATCTATAAAATAGTGAAAGTTGGTAAGGTAATACATTAGTCATTAGTATTAGAAATATAAACAATTAATGTAACAATAAAATACATATATTGTCTCGTGCTTAAATTTAATGATGATAAAACAGGTGGCGAGAAGCGTCCCAGGTCACAAGGTAATGTACGTTTTGCTCATACAAATGTAGTCTAAGTCGTCAAATTAGTCGTGTACCGTGCAGTATTATGTCGATTAGTACTGGTTCAGTGTTCGCTGGGCGACGAACGGTGCTTGTGGTGACGGTGACGATGCCGCGATGGATGCGCGCTGCTGTACAACTCTCTGACACGCGTACTGTCGACAACATCGCGATGAGTCAACTCGACATAACCAACTAAAGTGATACCAACGAGACGGCATACGATGTAAACAACGGGTATCCATCTCTTTATAATTAAAATCATTCACCATTAATTTAAATAAAAAAAGGATCCCCGGCCGGTACCTGAATTGAGAAATGTACAAAATCTCAACTGATTATTCTAAATATCTTAAGTGTTTTAATTGCTATCAACTGATAATAAAAAAAACTAAAATCAGAAACGAAAACCTGGGTTAGTGTCGTTTAAGTAGAGTTTGAGACATTTAAATACTCTCAATTCAGAAACCGGGTGTAAATCGTGTACTTTCTTTTGACTGGTACAGAATCCCGAAAGACGTTAAGTCCGCCATTTGTACAGTTCAACAGGCAATGAAGTTTGAATAACAAAATAGAGGAGTAAAGAAGGTGCCGATCATTGGAGCCAACGGTTATAGATTAAATCGTGCTTTTTATGGTCACTTTTGCTTTAATAGGTTTTAACAGATTATCTTTATAGTCTAGTCACGACTCACGCTTCAAGCATATCTAAGCAGTATTTTTGGAGAATATAAAAATCAAAAAATCGTTTGTCCAAATTCCAATAAACTTTTTCACAACCAAAACGTTTGAGTATGCACGTTTGCTTTATATACATTAAAATAGTAAGTAAAGTTTCCTAAAGTTGATTATAAATTTATATTTTAATGGCGACGACATCATTATTGTTTATTAACTTCAATAAACTAACAATAAATATTATATTGTTGATAAAAAGAAACGGTGCGTGTAGTATAATACAGAATATAAAATCATGCATATTGAAATATCCGTGGAACATATACTTGTAATTTTTAGCAATACACCTAATTTACAACTAAGGTGATAAAAATTTAACTAAAAAGTCTATTACCCACACTAAAAAGCGTCTATTGAAATAAAAGAATCTGAAAAATTATCATGCTACAAAAGCCCAAGAAATTTTGCACACATAGCAAACATATATACAGCTTAATATTAAAAACGAATACATAATAGATAAACAGATATTACGATACAATTAATAGTAGGAACGCCTCCTCCAGTATCTGGAACTGACCAGATCAATTATTGTTTTCTTTTCATTAAAAAAAAAATAAAAATCAAAAATATTTTTCTTCAATTAAAAAACGGATATTAATATTGAAATTTTGGATTTTCTTGTAAATTTTGTAAAAACACAAGAATTAGTTTAATTGAAAAATGAAATGTTTTTACATGAATTTTAAGAATGTCAACAGAAATGGTGTCAATTATATTAGTATGTCACTTTGAATATTTACCTGGAGGGTAAAGCCAGAGGGCTTGCGGAGGGACGGATGGGACGGCGCGCCGGCGGCCGCAAGTTCGATGCCCGGCGCGACTCGCTACTTGTACTGCAATATGTATACCATGCAAGCTAACTACTATATTCAATATTATAGTATTATAAATTACATAGGATTTACATCGATCAATAGACAATTGCTTGTTATGATTACGCATTATCAACATCAACTTGAAGTCATCATTACATAAGAATAATAAAGAACTTAATTCTGACGTTATAAAATTCTAAATAGTCATATAAAACAAACTAAAACTATACCAACATTATTATTGTAAAGAAAATACTTATGACCTTATGTAGACTCTAATAAATTTACTCAAAATCGAGAAATCCATGTAACCAACTAGTACTTACATAAATAAAAAAGCAACTAAATAAGTGCAAAGATAGTAATAGCACAACATGCTATATATATATATATATCTCTAAATAATATGAAAAAATAGTGTTTCTATAAATAATATAATAATTTGAAATATATAAGGAACATATCCATTGACTAGAGAAACCAAGCTCCTTTGATTTATTTTCTTGTCTTCCGAGGGGTAGTAGGTGTAGTTGGATAAAGAACACAACATCACAACTCGATCTAACACACACTCATAAATGTACAGCTACACATACATTCATACAGATTGTTGCTTTTTTCATTTATTTTCTCCAAAATTTTCCTAATAGTAAAATTACTCAAATAGTGACATGTGCAAATAGTCATATTATCCAGGGTCCTGGTCATCTGTATTTCAGGCTATCGTCCCTCACAGAACCCAGTTCCTCACAGTCTTGTTTTTAATTGAATTCAATCAAACCCATGTTATGTTTCTGAATTTGTGTTTAAAATTGGTGGGCAAAAAGATTATAAGTTTAGAAAAAAAAACATATTTTTATCTAAGTATACCAAAAACAGCTTAATGAGGAAGTATTTAAAAAAAGACATTAATTTCCGATATCAAACAAGATGTCGTTATGGTACTTTCTTGATTAATAAATGACAACCCTTCCGGTTGTCTTTCATGCATAAAAGTAAATTAATTTTCAAAATTCAATAAACAACTCATATTCTATTTGTAGTTTTTTTTACATGTCGACGATGCTGAAATCCGTCTCTACAAAAAGATACAGGTGCTCAAAATTACATGTTTATTTTTCGTATTTGTTAGCTATTTTTATAAAAACTGCGTAATACAAAATAGGTATGACGACTGGGTTAAAAAAATCTGTTTAGTCAGTCAGTCAGATAATAGAAAAATATTAGATACTTTTTTTTACTTCAATTTAACAAGAAGTAGCTTATATAACAATAATTTAAGTTGAAGAGTGAGGGCTGTTTGTTTGTTTGTACGTGACGTCATGTGAAATTTTAACTCAATGTATCGCCGTAATTAATTATTAATTACGAATAAAATAAAAAAATACGTGTTCCGTTTTTTTTCGACAATCTACCTGACGGATAAATAAACAAAAATTTGTCGTCATCCCTATTATATGCCGTCCACTACTGCCGCGCACTGGTTGCTCAATGATTTTGCTGATGCTGTAAAGTGTATTTTATAGGAAAAAACTATACGTATAATTCACTGAGTTATATAAAAATATGCAAATAAAGAAGAACGCCAAGAAATTCAATGTTTTTAGGACTTTTTTTAAAAAGGATTACAATATATATTTCAATAAACAACGATTAATTATAGTTTTTTTTTTAAAGATCGGTTAACGTGGCGTTAGCAGAAATGTAAAGCATCCAGTGAGCATGCAGTGTCGTCATTTTTTTAAGAGAGCGCATGTGTTTTCTTCGAATATATGTATATTATAATATTAATAAAGTATTTATTTATATCACGATATATTATGCAGAATTTTTCAAAAATAACGAACATATAAGATCATGTTGTTTCAATTTGACTAATGGAACTTTGAACTACTATATCTTTTTATAGACGTGGATTTCAGATTGGTCGTCTTACAAAAAAATGTTTGTGGGAATGAGATCTTTCAAATGTTATATCACTCAAAGTACTACAACACTTTAACCAAATTCCACTCCCCTCTATACCCCGGAACGGTGGTACAAAGTGTGCCGTGTGCCGGGTCCACTATTATATATATATATTAATTGAATAAGAATGTATATACTGACTTGTGTTGAGAGGTGGCATGAGATGTTGGTGGGGCGGGTAATGCTAGACGTGCGCGTGAGGGTGCACCACCCGCACCAGTCTTCAGCTGGAACTCCCTGTAAACAACATTCTCGCTATTTATATCGATTCATCGATCGATTTTTGTAACAAGGAATGAAACTTATGACTCATCTACATTGATCGGTCAGCAAAGCGACTGCCTAACTCTCTAGCCTTGATTCTAGTTATAGCTATAAAGTTTTGTTTTTATCAATCTTTAAGTAGCTTTTTAAAATTAAATGATTTTTTATTATTTACATATTTAATCAAACCTTTTGGTTTATTTTCCTTTTCGAAATTGCTTTGTTTGTCTAAATTCGTCATTTTGTAATATGATATATCTCAAAATGTAGCTTAATATTAACTTCTTTTAATATTAGTAAATTAAATTTAAAAATAAAATCACAATAAAAATTACGAGCTTGATAATTATTTTTAAATAGTAATATAATAACAACTTTAAAATGACCCCAATGTGATTCGGACCCAATGAAGTTTTGCTATGTTTGTTTCATCTAATACAGAAAAATATACTTTCCTCATAATATTTAAAAAAGCACATTCACAATTGTGAAATTCCATGATTTCGATATTATTATATTTAGCACAATATAATAAAAATATAGGTCAAAAAGAACAGCTCACAGTTTTAATTTTCCACTTTTCACAGTAAATATATCACTTTTCTAAACGCTAGTGATTAAGTTCTAATTCATGAATCAATGTGATGTGTTAGCATTTTTGCAGACGATACAAAGATTTTTGCAAATCCATTCATCAACTATGATCTCCTCCAAGCGGACGTAACTCGGACAGTAAAATGTTCAACGGAGTGGCATTCAAAAGGTATTATTTGAAATCCTCATTGTACTTATGATTTTGAGGGCATAATACTGAAAGAAGTCAAAGTACAAATTGATTTGAAATCTGAAATGGGAACATCATATTTCTGCTGTTACAAAAAAGGCCAGCATTTTCATATATCTTATCAGGAAAGCGTTTGGTCATTTGAAACCAGAGATGGTAGTTAAGATTCAATATTCCCATAACACTCACTTGAGAGGACATCATCTAAAGTTGACAAAGAGGGCGTCGTCTATTAATCCACACTAGCACTTTCTTAGTAACAGAGTGGTAGAAGCTTGGAACAGATTTAAAAAATAGACTAGACAAATTCAAATGAAACAGGAAGAAAGAAATATCTCACACAAAAGATATCGGGATACAGGCCACATCGGTTGCAACTGTCTGCCTGTCTTCGACAATAATGATAATAATATTCTATTTTAAGCAAAAAATATTTTAAATTATCACTTATCGTGGGTAGAAGCATTCTTTAAAAAAACATAAGACAGGTCAATCAATGTATGGAAAGTGGACATGATTCTTTGTTATTATATGAAAAGAAAAATATTATGACAAATTTACAAATAACAACAAACAACTGTGTTGATGTTCTTTATAATAAATGTGGGCATCCATAACTTACAAAACCTGATTAAAACAACAACGACACCACAAAAATTATCAGTGAGTTTGATAATGTTATATCGTACTTAGCTAATAATACATTTTTTTATTTTCTGTTTTATGTGAAGAGTATTGTAAGTGTAACATAAAACTGATTTTAAATTTATCATGCAAATAAAATACCTTTGTTATCTAATTTAATTACCCATGATTGTAACTTTACTACTTTTAACCTTTGTTTTCTTATTTTTTAGTTAATACATGAAAATGATAATCCAGCTTTTATTTTTAAGCTTTAGTACATTCAGAGCAGGATATTTTTATAAAAAAATAAGTTCGGTGTAGGCAATTATATAAAGTCAAAACACTAAAGTCATTATATATACATATATAAAAAAGGATAAAACCATTATAAGGTGCTTCTCTTAATCCATGCTCAGACAACAAAGTCTTTACTAACCTATCAAAGTCTTCGGCGTCATCTTCTTCAATGTTAATGAACTCCTGACGTTCCTCTGCATCACCAGAGTACACATTCTGTTCTCGCTCAATAACATGGGCCCGTTCACCGATATGATGACCTATGTTGATATAGTCATTTAGAACTTGAATTTTATACAAATAAGTAATGAATGTAGACATAGTAAGCATATTTTATTATTATTATGCATGTATTTTTTTCTATACAAGTATATACGTAATTCATCTTAAGGATGACATCATCTTCAAAAGATGAATGACTTCTATTATTTATGTTGCTCATCCATAAGTACACACAGCATTACATCTACAAATTTGTTGAAGTTCTAGAATAGATTTTGAACTGAATGTTGAGCTCCTAAAGAGTTTTAACTTATTGGAATAATTAGATTCGGATAAGCTGAGGTGTTCTCAACTGTAGCCCCCATGTCCATTTTTAGTTTCACAGTAGTTGAAGATTGCAATAACTCTATAGATATTTCAAATGACAGAATAATTACAACCAATTAGGATATTGGCATTTTACTTTTATGCTATGTACGTTATTATTCACATTAATCAACCCGTCTTCGAAAAATAACTTTTCTTTACTAGAATTTGGTTATTGAACAAAAACAATAAAAAAAAAGAAGTCAGTTTAGCCGATTCTGATTATATTCCCTAAAGGGGGAGTAGATCATAAACTGGCATAATAAATCGATGACGCCCTTTTGGACACTGGGGTGCTGAGATAAAATACTAAATATGTATCACTCTGAAATAAGATTGGAATCCCCTGGTTTTGTGTTTGGAACAGTTAAACACAAAACATTTGCACATCATAAGTACAATAAAATATTTTGTCATAAGTTAAAATAATGGAGGCGATGCTGTTGGCACAAACAAGAATAAATTTATATTTTATACTCATGTTAAACTGGCCTTATAGTAAATGACTAGTGATATTAATTTAATTTAGAGAGTCTCCCCTAGGACCACCACCATTATGAATTAAATAGATTATAACATTATATAAAAAAGTGCACTCACCAATAGACATTTTCTTGGTTCCAGTACGCGAGTCTTGCAATGTTTTACGTGTTTCTTTAACGCCATTTGGGCCGATTTTAGTGCTACTTGATGATGAGAAAACCTTGAATAATGAACACAACAAAATATCAGTACTTGATAACTAAAAACATAATTAAACAAAGTAGTGCACTCATTGTGAAATAACTAAGACTTGATAAATTTGAATTCAGTTACTTCATGGCTGTTACAACATTTCACCAATATGTTACAATATAAAAAAATCATTCTTCAACAAAAGTGTCAGACTGTGAATGTCAATACAGTAGAACCTCAATAAGTTCAAAACCTCCAACACTTGAAACAGGTTTTCGAGTAATGGAGATTTTGGCGTTAGAAGGTCCCTTGCCTTCTAACACCAAAATCTCCACCTTAAATGTAAATAATCAGTAAGTCCCTACAAGCTATTTTATAAAATTTTTACCTCTGTAGCTCGAAAAATTAAATTGCACAATAAACTACAATTCAATTACTATGACAATGGACCTAAAGACCATGGTTTCTTATAAAATTTTTTTGGAGTATTTAATAAATAGGTTTATCACAAATTTATGATTATTAACATATATTTACTTGCTTGGCAGGTGTTCAATTTATTTAGTTTTATTTTGTAAAGTTTTACATAATAAATAAAAATATGTATGATACCTCTGCAACCTGAATTTGATTTATTTCACCTCTCTTACTCAAAATTTATGAAACTAAATTGACTTATGATCACAGGTCGGAATCAGGTAGTTATGTACTTGCATCGAAATGTTGATATTAATGTGGACCTTCCCGAGATTTCTAATGGGCAATCCCGTGTGACCAACAATCTTACAACTAAATAATAATAACAACGTCAGAGATAGACAAATAAAACAAAGATAATCAACATAAAGTTGTGCTAACTACAAATGTGGCAACATCGCGCGTATTGGTATTTTGCAACTTTAGACATCCGATGTCATTGATGTAAGTTTGGCAACGTCCTGCGTGCAGTAGTTTAAATTGTGTAAAAATAAATAACTTTTTATTTAAAAAATCACAGGATTTTTTCTGCTCTTTAAAATTAATCTCAGGATTTGAGGCATGTCCACTTTATTCTTTTGCTGTATGAAATCAATGTAAGTACATGAATAACTCTACCTAATTCCGACCACTGCTTATGATGAATCAAAATCTGCCCAAGTCGAAATTCTCCATAAATCGAAAACTAATAACATGATTGTTTGGCATGTTCCACTTATAAAGGTCCCATTGTATTTATAAACCATTATTATTCATAGTATAAATCAGTATTACCTAATTTTTTCTGGTCCACAGACACCTAAGACATTAAAACATGAGATCAAGGTACCTTCCCTTAATAACATAATCAGGATTGGTTGTTTGTAGTACAAAAAAGTCCTCAATTAATCCAAATTAATGTTTTTACATTGTATGCCGTGCTAATTTTATTGTACTTAACCTAATCGGTCCCACGAGCCTCTTAAGAGGATTTGGTCACACCAGATGTTTACTTCATGCGAACTATAAGGGATGGGATCGGCTCGGTTAAATCAGTTACTATAGAGTTATATTTCTGAATGCACAGTTGCTATGCTAAGATTTCTAAAAAACCTCACTGGGGTCCACAGACGGTAGATAAGAAATAGATTATAGAGGTAGATAATAAACTATAGAAGATTTATAATATAATACAAGTGATTTTTACCTGTGGCTTGCCATTTGGTCCGCTAGACATCACAACAGTGCTACTGGAAAAGGAACTTCCAGCACTCATGTGCCCATCAATATCTAACACAAAAATAATATCCAGCTTCACATATTATAGTATGTCATATATAGAACTACATAAGACAAGAATGATGGCAACTCATATATTTTAACTATTTTATCACTCTCTAAACTAGGAATCTCTAATTTTAATGCAATTATATTACCACATGTAAATTAGGAAATACTTATGTACACTTGTTTATATTATATTAAGTTTACTCCAGTTATGTTGAACATACACACAAATACGATAACTAACTTTGAATTTAAGATTAAATTTAGTGTAGTTTATGGAGACAAGACTGCTGGCCTCTTTTTTATTTGAACCAACAATTAACTATTTTGTACCATTAATTTAGAAATCGACTTTTAAAAGTTAGGTATACGCATATTACCGAGAGTCATATATACCTGTTATGCCTGAAAAAAGTCTGTTTAGAGACGGCATCTGGGGCATGAATGGCATGAGTGAACTTCCGTGCCGAGGTCCTGTGATGGCAAGCGGCCCTCCGCCACCGAGCATTCCAAATGGGTCAGAAAACAAGGAATTCATCATATTGTTCATCTGGCGCATGTGTCTCATATGCGATCTGTTGATAACACAATTTTTAATGTTTGCACACGATAATATATGCTTTTGGGTAATTTATATCTTATAGTGCCTTATCGTTCCAAAATTTTAATAGACTTTGAATATGTAGTAAAAGTGATTAGTATTGTTCTGTTCACACATTAAAGGCAGTATAAGAAACGATACAGTCTAAGAAGAAACATATTATACAAGTTCCTTCAATAAAAAACGCTTTCATTTTAAACAAAACCAATATTGCCAATTAAGCCATAATGATGAACTGAATACATAGAAAAATGAAGCTTACGAAAACTCACCCGAAAAATGGATCGTCCTCCACGTCGGCCATCAAAGATCCAAAAAGAGACATAATTTGTTAAGCAACGCAAGCCTTAAATTGAGATTAATTAATTTTAGACTCTTATGGAAAACTATTATAATTTCCTGCTATATTTGCTTAGAATCAATCTAACCAAGAATATTTTTGATATCGAATTCTCTAGCAATAGCTCCAGCAACCAAACGAACGAACGACCAATAAATAAGCACTAGAGATGTCCAATTATAATACTACTCTTTGTGTCTGAGTCAACTGACTCGAGTGTGGGTTCGAATTAGCGATGGGTAATTAGATTATTACTTTAAAAATCGAAGGAGTGGATTGTTCAGTTTAGTCGATAAACGTCGAATATAATCGATGTTATTCGATTGTAGTTATCTACTAAACCTTGCGGCTGCGGCGAGCGGCTATGACCCGCCGAGGTTACCGAAATTACTTAATCGATTTCTAGCGCAGTCCCATATTACTATAAACGTGCATACTACCTATGGTGCGGTGCGGCGGCCGTACGCTGCGCTCAACTGTAGTTATTTTGTGATTGGCGCTAATAGGTTATTTAGTTGTCTGTTTAGTAGTAATTCTACTAATTTGAGGGCACATCCATTCGATTGTCGCAATGTAGTTGATACTTATCTACACTATCGCGCGACGAATAATGTTGAAATATCATATAAACAGATCTTGAAATGTAACATCACTAACCTTCTATATGTTTATAGGGGTCCGTACCCAAACGGTAAAAACGGGACCCTATTACTGAGACTTCGCTGTCCATCCGTCCGTCTGTCTGTCTGTCACCAGGCTGTATCTCATGAACCGTGATAACAAGACAGTTTTTTGCTTCTCTTTTGCTCGTTTCGTACGGAACCTTTCGTGCGCGAGTCCGACTCGCACTTGGCCCATTTTTTTTATTATGTTGCTTTTCTTTCTTGTTATAAATATTATTATAAATACCAACTAATCTATATATATAAAAGAAAGTCGGGTTTGTTACAACACTTATAACCAGTGGTCGGAATTAGGTAGAGTTATTCATGTACTTACACTGATTTCATACAGCGAAAGAATAAAGTGGATATGCCTCAAATCCTGAGATTAATTTTAAAGAGCAGAAAAAAATCCCGTGATTTTTTAAATAAAAAGTTATTTATTTTTACACAATTTCCACTACTGTACGCACGACGTTGCCAAACTTACATCAATGAAAGAAAAAAATAAAGAAATCCCGAGAAGGTCCTCATTAATATCAACATTTCGATGCAAGTACATAAATAACTCTACCTAATTCCGACCTCTGCTTATAACTCGAGATCAGCTGGACCAATTTTCATGGTTTTTGATTTGTTGGATTTGTCTCCGCCCCGAATAGCAGAATACATCTTAAAAATAATGAAAAATTGACGAATACTTGAAAAATGCGTTATTTTCCCTAAAAGTTGTTTAGTTTCGGAGCTGTCAATTTTTTTTGTCAAAATCTGTAAGTAATGATTGACATTTATGCATGCGTTCATAAACTATTTAAAATGGATGAATAAACTATTATGTGTATTGTTTTTTTAAAAAGATTGAAAAATATTACGCGTGCTTTCAGAAATGTGTAATGAATACTCAATCATTTCAATAAATTTTTGAACTCCTTGGATGTGCCTGGTTTACCACCGCACAATTTACAACTGAAGGTTGGCTCGGTAGTCATCATGCTTAGAAATTTAAACCAACCAAAACTGTGCAATGGAACGCGTTTGGTGATAAGAAAACTGATGAGCAATGTGATTCACGCGTCGACACTTAAAGGAAAATTTAAAGATGAGGAAGTTCTTATTCCAAGGATACCGATGATCCCAACAGATATGCCCTTTGAGTTTAAACGAATTCAATTCCCGATTCGTCTTGCTTTCGCCATGACGATCAACAAATCACAGGGCCAATCCTTGACTATTTGTGGCCTCAATCTAGAAAATGCATGTTTTTCTCATGGTCAGACATGTGTTTGAAATACTTAATTATTATTATTTTTATTCTCATTCTGTATGTATTCATCATCATTCATCATAATAAAATACTTTTATATATTTTGTATCAATGTATTACGTTCATCAAAGCTTAAATTAGTTCAGCTAAAAGGTAACACGACATTCATTAACTGTTAGGCGGTACGAAGTTCGCCGGGTCAGCTAGTTACTAATAAAGTAAACAAACAATCAACGTAACACCGCAATACCCCGCGCAGATAACCAACTACTAAATCGACATTCGAATGCGCAGTAACAATTCAGTCGATATTTTTTTTTCAACAATCGCTATCACTAGTTCGGATACCTAAAGTCTGTGTTTAATCTCAGAGACTAAATTGACACATGCAAGACCAAATTTAGAAATAGTGATACCAGATTTTTTTAGCAGGGTTGACCTGAAAACCTGTATTTTTGACATCCATCATTGTTCACTTATAATTATCAAGTGTGACCCTAAAATTTTTAAATTTCCCGTAGGTGAATGAATTTTCAAAATCCAGTCCAGTAGTTTTAAAGTGCAGTTTTTTATTTAAAGCCTTATTTATCGCAGTGCTTCTTATTAATATTTTATAAAAAAACAGATTAGTAGTATAACATAACAAGAAATAAGGGAGTTAAAACACTTAAAAATAACTACATGCCATTCGCTTTTGCGTTCTAATCAAATGCCATCAGAGGCGTTTTGTACAACAGCCGACTTATATGATTACAGCAACCCTCTTAATGGCGAAGTACAACGCATGCCTATGACCCAAAATTTGCTGTACTAACAGCATCAAATGTCTTGGAGTAACGATTACTCGTGGCTTTATCTCGACAAATCCCAAAAATACCTTAATTTCTATCAATTGAACCAAATTTTAACATCTAACGGTATCTGCACATGTGATTGTACATTAATAACACTGATTTTTGCTTTGAAAATTGTAATAAATTTATATTGCTGTAATTTTAAGTACAAATTGCAGTAATATAAAATTTTAAATTTTTATATATTAGCGCACCGGCGAATGGTGATATTTGGGTGTATACAAAACACTCTCGAGTTCGTCATGCTACGCGTACAGGATCCGACATTACACGAAGTAGGTGCAGGCTTAGAAGTTAGTCAGTAGCCGCCACCAATAATTGGCTATTTTTTTTAATAGTTTTAAGATTAAACGTATTTTATTTACATAAAGTTTTTAAAACGACACTTTTGAATTTCCTTAAGATTCTAAAAATATTGATAAATATCGTATAATAGGCTATGTGAGGTGATCTATCGATACATCGATTTTGACTGTAACCGATATATATCGATTTCTATATATCGATATTTTCATTAAACTTGCATCTCTAGCTCGTCGGGTTCATATTGATACTTTTATTTTATAAGGTTTTTGTTACTTCATACATAATACATACATTGTGAAATGCAATAAAATAAATAATCATCTGTTACTTCCGTAACTAAATATCATTATTATATAAATATTTTATAATAAATAAATAAATAAGTCTGTGGGTATCTGCCTATAGCAGTAATAGATGGCGCTGTTCATATATATACATCGCGCTTAGATTTTGTATCTCTGTGTTTGATTATATTGCAGTAATTCCATTTCTCATGTAATATATGGCAAATCGAAAGAATTTTTGAGACATGTCTGTTTTTAAGACAGATATGTAGTGACGGTCTAGTACACATACCTGTCTATAACACGATGTAATTTTAACATTTATCGCATGTTATATAGAGATGGGTCGCAGAGAGATTTGCCGTCGACGAAACGGATCCATTCATGGACCTTGTCACCTTGATCGACTAGTCGATCAACTAGTTAATTTTATTTAACTATAGTTGACTGACATATGGAACTACGTCAAGGGGTATGAATGAATAGTATGAACTTTGGACGAAAATCAATGGTTTAATTGAACCGTATGTATATCAATATTGAAAAATAAAAAATATTAATCATATTAGGTATATCTATTGTCAGGTAGGCTATGGTTTTATTTTGTATATTTGTGGTTATGATGGTAAAACTTAACAGTTTCATGATTTTTTATTGTCAAAAGATAGCGCTAATATTCTTATTAGATATTGTTTTGTAATCAAAGGGCAAAACCAAAACCGCATTATTAAGTCTCCGCTGTCCCTCCGTCTGTCTGTCACCATGCTGTATCTCATAAACCTTGATAGATAGATAGTTAAAATTTTGAAATTATATGCATTTCTGTTGCCAATAATGTTTACAAACAAAAACAGAATTAAATATTTGCCTTTATTTAATAAAATAATGTTTTTGCTCGATATCGATACTTGCAGCGGGTAGACCCTTGAAATACTTACCGAGGATTTGTCTATATAGGCATTCACATTAAAAATAAACAGTTAAATTAAAATAAAATAAATACTACCGTGTAGTACCGGTATAGAATTGTACTACCCCTTTTCATCCCGTGGGTGTCGTAAGAGGCGACTAAGGGAAATTTAACCCAAGGAGATGGGCAGCAGCGTCTTCTTGTGCGGTCCACAGAACTGGACCATACTGCGATCGCCAACCCGCTTGCCCAGCGTGGCGATTATGGGCATATCCCCCAAATGAAAAGGCACAAAAGGCCACGGCCCCTAGTTCCCGGCGGCCTCGCTATTCCTGGTCATGGTGGCGACCATGGTAACGGCGAGGCAGGGGGTGCTAAGAATCTCCGGGCTACGGGAGGCCACCACAACCGACTGACCCTGGCGACGTAATACGGACGCACGCTACGGCTTGACTCGCATCTGGCTCAACTTGAGGTGGAGCTTGGAAAGATTAGGTGGCACATATTGGGATTGTGTGAAGTCCGAAGAGAGGGGGAGGATACCATAACCCTCGAATCAGGCCACCTAATGTACTTCCGCGAGGGAGACCAACAATCCCAAGGTGGCGTTGGGTTTCTTGTCAATAAGTCCCTTTCTGACAACGTTGTGGAAATTTCCAGTGTGTCGAACAGGGTGGCGTACCTGATTGTAAAGCTCACTAAGAGGTATAGCCTCAAG